AAAAGTTATGACCTTTCAAAGTTTTCCAAAATGTAAATCATAAGGTAGGTACCTTCTTACTAAAACGATGAAATTTCAAATTTTTTTTTGTCGAGATTTTGTATCCTAATGGTCAATCAACATACCTCAAACTCCATACACAAAATTATTCCCAGATTTGAAGCCGAAATCTATGAAAAAAGGCACTCAGAAAAATTGAAAAATTGATAAATCACCCCAAATTGCTTAACACGATTTTATCTCAGGAACTATAAGTGCAAATGAGCTGAAATTTTCAGGGATTGTAGTCCTTTGAAAAAGATAAAATTCAGTGAAAGATTCAGCTTTCTATCTATTATAGAAAAAAAGTTATGACCTTTCGAAGTTTTCCAAAATATAAATCATAAGGTAGGTACCTTCTTACTAAAACGATGAAATTTCAAATTTTTTTTTGTCGAGATTTTGTATCCTAATGGTCAATCAACATACCTCAAACTCCATACACAAAATTATTCCCAGATTTGAAGCCGAAATCTATGAAAAAAGGCACTCAGAAAAATTGAAAAATTGATAAATCACCCCAAATTGCTTAACACGATTTTATCTCAGGAACTATAAGTGCAAATGAGCTGAAATTTTCAGGGATTGTAGTCCTTTGAAAAAGATAAAATTCAGTGAAAGATTCAGCTTTCTATCTATTATAGAAAAAAAGTTATGACCTTTCGAAGTTTTCCAAAATATAAATCATAAGGTAGGTACCTTCTTACTAAAACGATGAAATTTCAAATTTTTTTTTGTCGAGAGTTTGTATCCTAATGGTCAATCAACATACCCCAAACTCCATACACAAAATTATTCCCAGATTTGAAGCCGAAATCTATGAAAAAAGGCACTCAGAAAAATTGAAAAATTGATAAATCACCCCAAATTGCTTAACACGATTTTATCTCAGGAACTATAAGTGCAAATGAGCTGAAATTTTCAGGGATTGTAGTCCTTTGAAAAAGATAAAATTCAGTGAAAGATTCAGCTTTCTATCTATTATAGAAAAAAAGTTATGACCTTTCGAAGTTTTCCAAAATATAAATCATAAGGTAGGTACCTTCTTACTAAAACGATGAAATTTCAAATTTTTTTTTGTCGAGATTTTGTATCCTAATGGTCAATCAACATACCTCAAACTCCATACACAAAATTATTCCCAGATTTGAAGCCGAAATCTATGAAAAAAGGCACTCAGAAAAATTGAAAAATTGATAAATCACCCCAAATTGCTTAACACGATTTTATCTCAGGAACTATAAGTGCAAATGAGCTGAAATTTTCAGGGATTGTAGTCCTTTGAAAAAGATAAAATTCAGTGAAAGATTCAGCTTTCTATCTATTATAGAAAAAAAGTTATGACCTTTCGAAGTTTTCCAAAATATAAATCATAAGGTAGGTACCTTCTTACTAAAACGATGAAATTTCAAATTTTTTTTTGTCGAGATTTTGTATCCTAATGGTCAATCAACATACCTCAAACTCCATACACAAAATTATTCCCAGATTTGAAGCCGAAATCTATGAAAAAAGGCACTCAGAAAAATTGAAAAATTGATAAATCACCCCAAATTGCTTAACACGATTTTATCTCAGGAACTATAAGTGCAAATGAGCTGAAATTTTCAGGGATTGTAGTCCTTTGAAAAAGATAAAATTCAGTGAAAGATTCAGCTTTCTATCTATTATAGAAAAAAAGTTATGACCTTTCGAAGTTTTCCAAAATATAAATCATAAGGTAGGTACCTTCTTACTAAAACGATGAAATTTCAAATTTTTTTTTGTCGAGAGTTTGTATCCTAATGGTCAATCAACATACCCCAAACTCCATACACAAAATTATTCCCAGATTTGAAGCCGAAATCTATGAAAAAAGGCACTCAGAAAAATTGAAAAATTGATAAATCACCCCAAATTGCTTAACACGATTTTATCTCAGGAACTATAAGTGCAAATGAGCTGAAATTTTCAGGGATTGTAGTCCTTTGGAAGGGATAAAATTCAGTGAAAATTTCAGCTTTCTATCTATAATAGAAAAAAAGTTATGACTTTTCAAAGTTTTCCAAAATCTAAATCATAAGGTAGGTACCTTCTTACTAAAACGATGAAATTTCAAATTTTTTTTTGTTGAGATTTTGTGTCCTAATGGTCATTTGGGATCCCCCAAACTCCATATACTAAATTATACTCAGATTTGAAGCCGAAATCTATGAAAAAAGGCACTCAGAAAAATTGAAAAATTGATACATTACCCCAAATTGCTTAACACGATTTTATCTCAGGAACTATAAGTGCAAATGAGCTGAAATTTTCAGGGATTGTAGTCCTTTGGAAGGGATAAAATTCAGTGAAAATTTCAGCTTTCTATCTATAATAGAAAAAAAGTTATGACTTTTCAAAGTTTTCCAAAATCTAAATCATAAAAACGATAAAACGATAAAACGATGAAATTTCAAATTTTTTTTTGTTGAGATTTTGTATCCTAATGGTCAATTAACATACCCCAAACTCCATACACAAAATTATTCCCAGATTTGAAGCCGAAATCTATGAAAAAAGGCACTCAGAAAAATTGAAAAATTGATAAATCACCCCAAATTGCTTAACACGATTTTATCTCAGGAACTATAAGTGCAAATGAGCTGAAATTTTCAGGGATTGTAGTCCTTTGAAAAAGATAAAATTCAGTGAAAGATTCAGCTTTCTATCTATTATAGAAAAAAAGTTATGACCTTTCGAAGTTTTCCAAAATATAAATCATAAGGTAGGTACCTTCTTACTAAAACGATGAAATTTCAAATTTTTTTTTGTCGAGAGTTTGTATCCTAATGGTCAATCAACATACCCCAAACTCCATACACAAAATTATTCCCAGATTTGAAGCCGAAATCTATGAAAAAAGGCACTCAGAAAAATTGAAAAATTGATAAATCACCCCAAATTGCTTAACACGATTTTATCTCAGGAACTATAAGTGCAAATGAGCTGAAATTTTCAGGGATTGTAGTCCTTTGAAAAAGATAAAATTCAGTGAAAGATTCAGCTTTCTATCTATTATAGAAAAAAAGTTATGACCTTTCGAAGTTTTCCAAAATGTAAATCATAAGGTAGGTACCTTCTTACTAAAACGATGAAATTTCAAATTTTTTTTTGTCGAGATTTTGTATCCTAATGGTCAATCAACATACCTCAAACTCCATACACAAAATTATTCCCAGATTTGAAGCCGAAATCTATGAAAAAAGGCACTCAGAAAAATTGAAAAATTGATAAATCACCCCAAATTGCTTAACACGATTTTATCTCAGGAACTATAAGTGCAAATGAGCTGAATTTTTCAGGGATTGTAGTCCTTTGAAAAAGATAAAATTCAGTGAAAGATTCAGCTTTCTATCTATTATAGAAAAAAAGTTATGACCTTTCGAAGTTTTCCAAAATATAAATCATAAGGTAGGTACCTTCTTACTAAAACGATGAAATTTCAATTTTTTTTTTGTCGAGATTTTGTATCCTAATGGTCAATCAACATACCTCAAACTCCATACACAAAATTATTCCCAGATTTGAAGCCGAAATCTATGAAAAAAGGCACTCAGAAAAATTGAAAAATTGATAAATCACCCCAAATTGCTTAACACGATTTTATCTCAGGAACTATAAGTGCAAATGAGCTGAATTTTTCAGGGATTGTAGTCCTTTGAAAAAGATAAAATTCAGTGAAAGATTCAGCTTTCTATCTATTATAGAAAAAAAGTTATGACCTTTCGAAGTTTTCCAAAATATAAATCATAAGGTAGGTACCTTCTTACTAAAACGATGAAATTTCAATTTTTTTTTTGTCGAGATTTTGTATCCTAATGGTCAATCAACATACCTCAAACTCCATACACAAAATTATTCCCAGATTTGAAGCCGAAATCTATGAAAAAAGGCACTCAGAAAAATTGAAAAATTGATAAATCACCCCAAATTGCTTAACACGATTTTATCTCAGGAACTATAAGTGCAAATGAGCTGAAATTTTCAGGGATTGTAGTCCTTTGAAAAATATAAAATTCAGTGAAAGATTCAGCTTTCTATCTATAATAGAAAAAAAGTTATGACCTTTCAAAGTTTTCCAAAATGTAAATCATAAGGTAGGTACCTTCTTACTAAAACGATGAAATTTCAAATTTTTTTTTGTCGAGATTTTGTATCCTAATGGTCAATCAACATACCCCAAACTCCATACACAAAATTATTCCCAGATTTGAAGCCGAAATCTATGAAAAAAGGCACTCAGAAAAATTGAAAAATTGATAAATCACCCCAAATTGCTTAACACGATTTTATCTCAGGACCTATAAGCGCAAATGAGCTGAAAATTTCAGCTTTAAATCTTCAATAGAAAAAAAGTTATGAATATCATCATCAGTTCATACTTCCATTAAAATTCATTTATGGAAAATCTTCAATGTTCCAAAAATTCAATTTTGAAACTTCTCAGGTACAAAATTGTCGAAACAAATATACAATTTTGTCTAGTTAAATAAGCACAAAAATCCTACAAAAACTATTACAATAACAATAACCCAAAGACCCAATAGAAATTTTCAAAAATCCGGGTTTTTGCCAAACCTGAAAGAAACAAAACCTTCATCAATAAATCCTGAAAGTTTGAAGTCACTTTGGTTGCTGGAATTTTTCAACTAAATTAAACTTTTTAGTTTGTAAGTAAGAATTTTTCTCTTACACGTAATTACAATTATGGTGTTTGTATGAGTATTAATAAGTAAAAAAAAAAGATATATTGCATTTCAAATTTCAAAAGTAGAGAATAATCCAATAATGTTTTCAATTAGGTACCTTCCACGAGCCATATTTCAAAAACTACATGTACATACCATAAATGTATATAAATGTAAGATAACATTTCAATATGCCCTTGTCAAATGCATTTTGCAATATAAATAAAGTAAATCCTCAACAAGTTTACTTACCTTTGAGAAGTATCCAACAATGTGGGCCCCTTGTTTGTCAACCTCGCACAAAATATAAAACAAAAAAGGCTCAACATCGAAATACAAAGTTTTGTGATCCAAAAACAGCTTGGCTAAAAGGCACAAATTCTGACAGTACACTTTGTGATCTTTTCCATCTACTTCGTAGACAGACAATGTTCCTTTTCTGTAGATTTCTTTGCCCACTGGTTGCCTCCAAGTACATTCACTCTAAATAAATACAATAACAATTATTAATTATAATACATTACTATTAATATAACAAATTATACCATATGATATCTGTGGCTTTTCTCCAACCTCATATACTTCAAACAGTATTCGCAAATCCACAATTTGGACTGCCTTCCATATTCTTCTGGATAAGGACTAAAGTACCAAGTGTCAATTTCAAATCTACCAATTTGTATTCTATCAATGTATTTAACTTTTGTTATTTGTTCGTGCTCTTTTTCTAGGGCTGCTGTAGTAGGATCCATTTCTGCATAGGTTTTTTGTATGTGATTAATTTCATCGTGACGTCGTTTTTGGTTTCTAGTTATTTTCCTATCCGAGCTGTCCGATAGTAAATCAGTGATGACTGGACCGACTGGACGTTCTTTCCAGGTTTTTAAATCTGGAGCTTTTTGGCCGTCTGTCAAGTTAAACTGGGACGACATTATACGTCCTCTTGGGACCTATTAAAAGTATATTATTATGATTTTAGTTTTAGGTAGGTTTTTGTGAAATTTACCCATTCATCTAGGCGTCTATTGTAGCCTTCATAATGTACGTAATACTCGTATTGCCGGTCGATTTCGTTGTAGCGAGATTGAATTATTTCAGCAGGATCTGCAAAAAAAGCCCAAACAAATTATTTGAGGTTAGAATAAACAAAGCGGTCACTTACACCAAGAATTGTCGGTTCGCTGGACCAAATAATGGATTCCGATATCCAGCGGTTGTTCTTCGGCGCTGCCGCTGTCCTCATCGTGAATGAGGGGCTTCGAAATTTCGCTTTCCGACTTTTTACGCATTATTTCTTCGTCCAGAATTCCTGAAACAATTTCCCTACTTTCGCTGTTCGACGACGATTCGGCCATCTTTAAAAATCGATTTTTAGGTTGCAGCGCCACCGCATTACATTTTGGTAGCAGATGCCATCAATTATTTTCATTTAAAAAGAAGAATTGTTTGTCAGTTGTCAAAGTCATAATTGGTGACTTCTTCAATAAGTTAGCTATCTTTGTTTAGTCAATAGAAAATGACAATGACCGACATAGAATGGACACAAGTAGCTCGTGCTCTGTTTATTATTCCATTTTGTTTTGTTTGTCAAGTCAAAAGTCAAAGTGCCGGTGTTTATTTTACTTTCAATAATCAATTTTTCCTAAATAAATACTCAAAAATAAATTCAGAAGGCTCGAAAATGTCGCTCCTGCCTTTAGAATCCAATCCAGATGTAAGTTTTAACTCGAGGAGCAAAAAATTACAGTTTTATTAATTAATTTCCCATTTTTTTAGGTTATGAACAAGGTGAGTTGTTTGCTTTTATAAAAATTCCTATGGCAATCAAATAATTCAAAGCCCCATCAATATATTAATATAAAATTACTTATTTGCTACTCAATATTATTGTAGATTCAATTTACAACTAAACATGTTTAGGGCATCTATTCTTGAAAGCCAGGACAGTGTTGTCATAAGATCGATTGCTCTATCTTTGTCAGGGTTATGCAAATACAAATAGAACAGACAAAGACAGGACATTCGAACGCTGCTACCCGGTTTCGAGAATAAAGCTGGATTTATACAGCAAATAAAATAAGATAAGATAAAATAACAAATACATAACTAATGCATTTCTTATTTTATTTGTTATTTTCTGTATAAACACTTTAAGGGTATCTCATGAGGTTACTGTTATTTCTTATTTCTTATTTTATTTTATTTGCTGTATAAATCCAGCTTAAGGACCCAGAGGACCCTTTTTCCACAATGGAGTTTTGGCATGGAAAGAAATGATTTTTCTTTCATTTTGATGCATGAAAAATATTTAGGCAAAAAATTCCCCCAAAAGAGTCTATGACAAATTTTCTAGCTTTCACTTTATTCATTTCCAGAGTTAAACTTGCTGGTAACTACCTGCAAGATAAATTTGCCAATCTGTAATCTTGTTAGTTGGCAAATAACTGGCCAACCAATAAGATTACAGATTTCGTTTTTATCCCCCAAATTGCAAGAAGGTGAATAAACCAGTCCTGAAAATAATTATAAATAACTCTTTTTCACATGACAAAATGATCTGGAAGTATATTTAGAGCTTATAAAAGTATTAAGTAAATTTTTGATTCCATGTTGATGCATGAAAAATATCACGGGGTAAACTGCCAGTAAAATTTGTATACTGAATACATGGACATGGACTAAAAAGGTATACATCGGGAATACCGAGGTGAATGTCATATGACGAGGGGTCAACCACTATTTATTTATTTATTTATTTATTTATTTATTTATTTATTTGTACAGACGGGCTGGACCCAATTGGTTACAGTAACATATGAAATAATAAGTACTATAACCTAATCTAAAACTAGAAAAGAATAGAAATAATACACGCCGCAGATTGGCTAAATCTAAATTACAACTAATAATAAAAGCTTATCTCTTTCAAAACGCTTGCTGAACAACATGTGGGTATATAAACAAAAGCAAAAATAAAAATTTAACAATCACAATACAAATGAGACTACACAATATAAATCACTGACAATCACGATTTTTTAGGTACTTCTTCAGATTTTGTTGTGACACAATAAATAAATCTTTCTCACAGTTGTCACAGATTTTCATAATTCTATTTATTGCACTATTCTGGCCATAAAGAGTTCTATGCTGACACAGTTCAAAAGTTCTTTGGTCTCTTAAAAGTCTAGGAGGGACAAAAAAATTCAGTCTAAATAATAGCTCACCGCAGTCGCACAAGCCATTAATTAATTTATGAGCAAAAACTATATCGGCAGTTTCTCTCCTATTTTTCAGAGAGCCAATTTTAATACTGCTCTCCAACTGGTGATAATTTATTTCCTCCATGGGAATGTGCATCTTATATGCTATATACCTAAGAAACTTCCTTTGAACTTTGTCTAGCATAACTTGATATGTAATAGAGTATGGAGACCAAACACTGGAAACATTTTCCAAATGTGGCCTTACTAAAGAAACGTAAAGCAGCTTTATAGCTGTGATATCATTAAAACTCATTGTGTGTCTTTTTACAAATCCTAGCATTTTCATTGCCCTATTTCTACAAATTTCAGTGTGCTATCAAAAAGTAAAGCCACTATCAAAGATGACACCAAGATGTATTTTTTTTAAATTTACTGAATTGTATGTACTTGCATTTTGATATGTTTAACGCCATTTTGTTGTCAGTGCACCAGTCATAAAATCTAGTGAGATCAGACTGCAGTTTAAAACCAGACTTATAATCAGTGATTGGAAGGAAAATCTTAATGTCATCGGCATACATTAAAAATTCACAAAATTTAAAACACTGAACAACATCGTTTAGGAATATACTAAATAGAATTGGAGCCAAATGGGCGCCCTGTGGGACTCCAGATGTAACATCTATAGGCTTAGATAAGTAACCTTTTACTCTTACTACCTGCTTTCTATCTGACAGATAAGACTCGAACCACTTCAGCAACCCACCATGTATACCATAACCATACAGTTTCTTAAGCAATATATTGATGTTTAGCTATTATCAAAAGCTTTCGCAAAGTCCGTATAAATAGCGTCCATCGCATACCCAGACTCTAAGGCCTCTACAATATGTTCATGATACACCAGTAGGTTACTTGTGATGGATCGACCCTGCAAGAATCCATGTTGCTGCGAAGCAATAATATTTTTAAATTCACCATTTAAAAAAATCTGAGATAATAGATTCAAACAACGTAGGTATTAATGACATCAATGAAATTGGTCTGTAGTTCTCAACATTATTCCTATCACCATTGTTTTTGTAAATTGGGACAACATATGACAGTTTCCATTTAATTGGAAAAAGTCCATGATTAAGTGACTTATTGAACAGAAGCCAGAGCGGACGAGACAATGAAAAAGCACAGCTTTTAAGAAATATACTAGGTACATTGTCCGGACCTGATCCTTTAGAAACATCCAATTTCTCTAACTTACTGAGTATTTCTGATATTTTTATGTAAAAAGATCCTACGTTGAGGTATGAATCGAAGTTAGAGTGTGACACACATTGAATCTGTGAACCTGGATGTTCATAGACACTGGCAAAGTGATTAGCAAATGCATTTGCAATCATATTGCCATCATCAAATGGTGTATCATTGTATTTAAAAACAGAGGGCAGATCATTCCAGTTATTTTTGGAATTAATATACCTCCAAAATGCATTAATATCATTCTTCAAGCTATTTTCAACTTGTTGAATGTAAGCTGTGTAGTCGTTTCCAGCTCTATTCTTTCTTGCACATACTACGAAGATCACTAAATTTGAGACAATCAAGATCTAAATCAATGTTATTTATAAGTAGTTCGTCCCAATTTACATTAATCAAAACATTATTTATTTCATAGAAGTTAGCATTCTTGAAATCATAGACTGATTCTTCAAATTGCAGTGGCTCATAATTATTAACCTCAAGCATGCCAACCAAAAGTGCTGGGTGATGATTATCACACGGCAAAAGAGTATCACATGGACAAATCACATCTGTTTTATCATTATTACTAAACACTAGATCCAACAATACATTATTACAATTTTTTATATTATTTAATTGATTACAGTTGGCAAATAACATTGTGCTGACAAGGAGGTCGCTAGCAGCATTATTACTATTGCATGCAGGTAGAATATTCCCTTCCTCCAAAAATTGGAGGTTGGGTAGATTGTAATCACCCATAATATACATTTTATCACATTCTTCACTCATATTTTCAACAGTATCACAGTGAAATTCATACTCATCCATTCTACACTGAGGTGGAAAATATACAGCACATAAATATAAATTTTTAAAGCTACCTACAGAAACATTCACCCAGAGCTCCTCATGACCAACACATTCATCAATCCAACTAACAACATGAGCTTTTATATTTTTTTTGACACCTATGAGAACACCTCCCCCTCTAGTTTTGCCTGTTGCATCACAATTCCTGTCTTTCCTAAATATGTTATAGTTAATCATTCCTAACTCAGTATCATTATAGTCCGAAGTTAACCAGGCTATGCTTATAATTATTATTATTTTTTTATTATTATTATACAGGCTGTCCAGAAAATAGCGTAAAAGCTCTCCACTACATGGTGGAGAGAAAAATACTATAAAAAATTTGGTGGCATTTTTGAGAAAGTTATTATATACCATTTTAATGTTTATTAAAATTGACAACACTGAAAATATCATGTTGACAATTTGTCACAGAACTAAATTAAATACCTATGTAATTACCTGAAAAATTCAAAGGTAACTAGAAAAAGTTGTCAGATCAATTTTTCCTGTTGTAATTTAGAGATTTTGCAATTTTCATAATGAGTTTTAAAGGTTCACAAAAATTTTTAATAAACCATTATGTACCTAGTGAATTAACAAAAGATAATACTTTGTACCAAATATTACAATTTGAAAACAAAATCAAAAATAAGGAAGTTGAATTTCCACATTTACCCCTTCATATTTCGAAGAATGGTCGAGAAGGATTTTTAAAATTATTTTTTTCAGGGTTACTCAAAGGATCCCCTACTACGTAGTGGAGATTTTTTACGCTATTTTCCGGACACCCTGTATATTACTGGAATTGGTTAATTTACAATACATTGCACTTAGGTATAGACTACAATAATTATTATTATTATTCTACACCAAGACATAAATATCTGTATGTGCAGTTAGCATAGAGAAAAACCTCGAGAAAAACATACTATAGTACAATTAGCCATAATTCAGCAATAGATTCTATCAATAATTTACATACAGCAGAAGACAAAAACAAGAGTGGATTTATTTTGAAATGTATACACAGAAAAACCACCAATGTCTTCAAAATTTGTCAATAGTTTAAATTAATACAAGTACCTTACAAGAAAACCAAGAATAAGTTTAAATTTTGAAATAAATAGTTTAGGCATTTACTTTTGAACACATTTTTTTTTGCATATCATTCTAATATTTATAGGTAACAGATTATAGAACTTAGGAGCTAAGTAATTAAGAAATCTTAAATTTAGATTGGAGTTGCTATTTGGTATTATGAGATGCCCACTTTGGTTATTTCTGGTACTATAGGGGTGAATAATTTTTTCTATAGAAGATGGTTTAACATAGACGTACATGCAAAGAGAATAGATATACAATGTTCTTACATAATATAAAAGGGCTGTAGTTTTTTCCATAAACAACCTTAAGGATATAATTTTGGACCACGTTTAATTGTCTTATAGCATTGTTGTACAGACTACCCCATATGAGAAATGTACAATG